CGCTGGGTTGAAATTTTTCAACATTTCGTCAAAAAGAAGGTTCCGTACAACCACATGGTCAGAATCACATCGTATATTCTCTCCTTGCCAGGCACATCAGCCACCGTTGAACGAGTATTTTCTCTGATCAATCAAATTTGGAACGATGAAAAATCACAAATAAAGATCGAAACATTGCGAGATCTTTTATATGTTCGATACAACATTAAAATGACTTGTAAGGAATTTTCTGAATTTTTAAAAATGCAACCTAAAATGTTGAAGGAAATTGCATCAAATGAAAAATACGCATTCAAAAATGCCAATCAGATCGACGAAAACAAAAATAAGTATGCTGAAATTTGTATGCAAAAAACGAGTTTGGATATCGAAAAATAAACTGCTTTCTCCATAACTTGACCATAAATTGAAATCAAATTAAATTAAATTGCATTTGCAAGCACCGTTTTTTCATTAATTAAAAACTGTACATAATATAAACTTATAGTAATCTAACTATCATTATAGAAAGAGGCAAGAAAAAAACATTTTTGTGTACGTAAATGAGATCTTGAAAAGGTGGTCATCCTAATCATACAGCATGAAGCAGTTATTGAGACTGTACAATCTATGTCGCCAAATAAAAGACAAAAAGCTTAAGAAAGTATCAAAGTTATAAATAGAAATCATCAATTAAATACACTAAACAACCACTTTTTTTCAGATAATTTCCAGCCGAGTTATGGTGAACACCGCAAATTGTTTTTTTCTCAAGACGTTCCGGGGGTAGCGCTGCTACCGGCTTATGCCTGAATTATGTTACAGTTACATTTTTAACGTACATTAAATTTCAAGTATTGTTTGTGAAAAAAAAACACATTAAAGTGGAAATAACGTTTGATATCATTCGTTTTATTCAGCAGAGTATCAGCAAATATGCAACAAAGTTGCTGCACCGCTGCAATTATTACGTAGCTCGAACGCACCCAATTATTTTCGTGTGTTTTGACGATATCCCATTACTAGCTTTATGATAGCGCAAATAATGAACAGCGTAATGCTATTGATAAAGTTATCATCACAACATCACAAGTTTGTGGTTATTGCTCTGAGATAATACGAGATAGAAAACAGCTAAGTAGCCAATGTACTGCTTGTCCAAGAATTACAAATTTTTTTCATCAGAACAGTTTACTAAACATGTTCAAAATAGCATTGAATCGGCTGCCATCTCACAGCCATAATATTGTTATTCGAGCAAAACAACTGCCGATGAACACACAAGGAGATTAATAATCTTTTTATTTTTTTTCATTTTAGATCACTGGAAGGGATGAAATCATGGGTATGGCCACCTGCCAATTTTTCGAGACCCCCCCCTTCATCGGCTGCTAAAATTTTGGATTTTGAAAAAAATTATTTTTTAATTTTTTTCTGTACTCTTAAAAGGTTAATAAATAACATATAAAAAAATGGATAGTAAAAATAATAATTGCCTATTTTATACAGCACTTTAAAAAAGACCTAAAAATCATGCCTCTAGACCAGAATACCCCCTTAAATTCAGCTACCATTGGCGAAGTGGCTGTTGTCATTGTGGGAGAAAATTTACAATCTAGAGATATTGCGCTTCATCGTTGGGATAATGATTTAAAACGTGTATCTGAAACACATAGGAGTTATGATGTGTTACAATATCCTTTGATCTACTGGCTGGGGGAAGATGGATACCATTTTAATATCAAAATGATAAATCAAGTAACAGGTAACTAGATTGAACAAGATTATATAATATTTTCAAATTCAAAACATAAAGGTAAGTAAGGTACTAGTGATCCGTGAAGGTGAAGTAAATCATATTTTTATATGTTAAGGACTTTTTCATCAGTTTGCCGTTGACATGTATGTTAAAATTGAGACTGAACGATTGACATACATAAGTTTGAAACAACGACAGCTTCGATTTATGTTTTCAAGAGGATTTCAATTCGGTGCGAACATAATATAAATTTTTACAATAGTAGGAATTGCATAAGGAAGAACGAAAATTATATACATACATGTAGGCACAATATGGTATATAAGTCATAACGAATAAGAAATAATCTTCTACGATTAGCCGTCAAACATAACGCATTTCCACTTATTTCCACATAAGTATTAATTGTATAAAGTCTAAGAAGTAACAATTTTCATATAAATGCTAAGTGTTTAAACTCCTACAAGTAATAAATTTTCATATAAGTGCAAAAGAATACCTAGACGTGTCTAGGATTCCTTCATGTTTGATTATTGCGCGCTTTTCGAATGTCAATAATGTGTTGTTATAACTGACTCAGTAGATGGCGCCACCCGATGAAACATAATAAAACATAGCAGTATTACGGACGCCTTTTTTCGAGTTGTCACCGGAAATGACTCAAGTGATGATCATTTTTTTGAATTTTTAACTCAAATGTACAAGAGACAACCGATCCCGACTACTAACCGATAAGGACTACGATCCGGAATAAGGGACAACGATCCAGAAGGAAGGACGAGGACAAAACGCGAGTGTAAGGGCACAACGAGAGAAGACACGCTAGCGAAAAAACCTGCACGACTTAGGTCACCAAGCAAAAACATATAACAAGAATACACAGTAAAATCAAAAGTCTCTACAGCGAAGAGCAAAAAAAAAAAAAAATTATATACACATACACATTATTCTCTCTTTTATTATATATCCTTCTACTTTAGTATTTAAGAACAAAAACAGGCAAAAACAGTAAGTTGACTTTGCTGATGTCGGAAGATTCAGCAGACACAAACGGGCCATCGTCATGCCGGGAATCGGTTTTGAATCTGTCAACTTGGTTCCGGTCACCTCCGTCGGTGGTCGGGGACAAGATAACACCATTGACCAACTACATCCGCGGAACGGACAGAGCAAACCTAGGTGGATGCAAGTCCCAGTGTTACACTACCTGGGCATCTTTGCCACACTCATATGTGGCTTCATTCTATACCGAATTTCGGGCAGGAGGGTCGACGTTACCAACTCAAAGCAACCAGGTAACAAACCTTTTTTACACCCCAACACCAGAGGAAGTAAATCTGCTAAGCGCAATAGATCGAACAGTGCTAGCCAAAGGGAAAAAATTCATGGTAAAGGGCCAACCGGGGCCTCTAATCATAAAACAAGCCGTAGCAAAGCAAATACTGGCTCCTGGAAGTACTGCGTCTAACGCCCAGTACCACAGCCTATACTTATCACAGTTTGTAGATGAGCTTACAGGTCTCTACAATACCTACCAAGACATGGACCCCAGACCAACGGTAGCTACATGGCCTCCCTTTGAGTCATTCTATTATAAATATAGTGAAAGTGAACAGAGTCAGAGCAATAATAATGAAGATGTCCAACAAACCAATTATCAAGAATGTGAAAATTATCCCAGCTCCAAAGGAGCAAACCTTAAAGCCGATGAAGGTCCTCGGGATAGAATTCGCGAGTTGTTCTTTCGAGGATTTTAAAAAAAAATCCTCCAAAAAGAAGAGTGCTACACGACATTTTCAAAAAGGAGCGTATATCCCAAGTTAGTGGATCTGCTCTTAGAGACCTACATGAAAAACACCGGGGAGCCGTCCTTATTGTGTGTGAACACAACGACCACTACCACATTATCCACGATTGCTCCTATCACAACTACAGTAGCCGGTGTGCCTTCATTGAGCGTATTAAGCGAGGCTATAGTATTGAACGACGATTTTCTCTATTGCCAGTATCGACTTCAACCTCGATCACTGGGCAAATCTCACAATCTATTGTGAGAAATGCGGAAGATCGATACGTTACGTGGACATCGCCGGGCGAAACTGGGTACCAGGTAGTGAAGTTGGATGTCTACAAATTCTCCAAGATTGTCGGCAAGGACAAGAAGAATTGGTGGAAGGAGGCAGAGATCCGCTCCACCTTCTTAACGAAGAGCCCTCTGGATCAAAAGGATGTCTTGAAACTGGCTATTGCAAACAACAGAATTATTGCTCCAATTATGGAAAGAGAAGGCATCAAGTGGCATTTTATTTCCCCGGCAAGTCCTCACTTTGGAGGAATTTTGGAGGCAGGTGTTAAATCTATGAAATATCACCTTAAGCGCATCATAGGAGATAATACTCTTACATATGAAGAGTTGACTACGCTGTTAACACAAATTGAAGCAGTTTTGAATTCACGCCCACTTTATACTACTGGAGAAGATTGCGAGGATAACAGCATACTTACACCAGGGCATTTTCTAATTGGAAGATCATTGCTGAGCGCGCCAGAACCGTTTCAAGAATGAAATATTTCTCATAGAAGACTTGTCTATCATTTATTTTCCCCACCCGTGGTAAAAGATATTTGACATAGCTTGTCTTAAACAACCTCGACGAATTTCTAATACTTCCGCGAGACAACAATTTCATGCTGTTACTATTCTTCCATATCTCAGATTTTATACATTTAAAAGTAGAGAAGAACGATGACGCATCAAAACATTTGAAGGACCTTAGGAAAAAATATGTAAAAACAATAAGTAACCTGCCGGGTGGCTTGTCGAATATAGGAAACGCTAGTAGCAGGCTGCTACCCATTTCGAGATGTGTTGATCAGATCATGTGATAAGACCCGGATCGTGTGATGTGACCCTAAATAAGGATTGGTTTGCTCGCCTATATAAGAAACGCTGCTAGCTAGGCCTGCTACCCATTTCGTGATGTGTGGATCAAATCATGTGATATTCCCCGGTTCGTGTGATGTGACCCTAAATAAGGATTGGTTTGTTCGCCTATATAAGAAACGCTGCTAGCTAGGCCTGCTACCCATTTCGTGATGTGT